AAGTAGAGAAACTGCCCATTTCAACCAATAATGGGGCACCCCACCTTAATCTAAACTTTGTTTTAGATTAAGGAGACAGGAAGACATTCTTCAAAGCAAAACATCTAGAGAAATGTGAGAAACAGGCCTTCACACAGGTGGTGAAGTGCAGTGGTTTTTCTCCTAGATAAAGGAAACAAAGAATTCCTAAGGGCAGAAATCTAAAGAGATGTAATAGAGATCCCTAAAGGAAAGTAACATGGCACATTTTTCCAAGCATACGAAAAGGGTCTCACCAAAGTAACAAGCGGTAGTCATTAAGCATACATGCCAGGCTTCAAGGATAGGATGGACTAACCAGACCCTCTCAGAAAGTCCAGTCCAATAAGGATGGGAAGCAGCCAGATGGTTGGCCAGAAGTCAGTCAGACAGCCAATTATAGATGCAGCTTTAAAGTAGAGTGAGGGACTCTTGGGGATATACCCAAAAGACTGTTACTCCAGAGGCACCTGCACATCCATGTTTATTGCGGCACTATTCACAATAGCCAAGTTATGGAAACAGCCAAGATGCCCCAGCACTGACGAATGGATTAAGAAAATGTGGTATCTACACACAATGGAATTTTATGCAGCCATGAAGAAGAACGAAATGTTATCATTCGCTGGTAAATGGATGGAATTGGAGAACATCATTCTGAGTGAGGTTAGCCTGGCTCAAAAAACCAAAAATCGTATGTTCTCCCTCATATGTGGACATTAGATCAAGGGCAAACACAACAAGGGGATTGGACTATGAGCACATGATAAAAGCGAGAGCACACAAGGGAGGGGTGAGGATAGGTAAGACACCTAAAAAACTAGCTAGCATTTGTTGCCCTTAACGCAGAGAAACTAAAGCAGATACCTTAAAGCAACTGAGGCCAATAGGAAAAGGGGAACAGGTACTAGAGAAAAGGTTAGATCAAAAAGAATTAACCTACAAGGTAACACCCACGCTCAGGAAATTAATGTGAGTCAACTCCCTGTATAGCTATCCTTATCTCAACCAGCAAAAACCCTTGTTCCTTCCTATTATGGCTTATACTCTCTCTACAACAAAATTAGAAATAAGGGCAAAATAGTTTCTGCTGGGTATTGAGGGGCGGGGGAGAGGGAGGGAGGGAGTGGGTGGTAAGGGAGGGGGTGGGGGCAGGGGGGAGAAATGAACCAAGCCTTGTATGCACATATGAATAATAAAAGAAAAATGAAAAAAACAACAAATAAATAAATAAATAAATAAATAAATAATTCAAATCAATGATCCTTTTAAGCCCTCAGCAATGCATGAACCAATGGGGGAAAGCCATCTAATATTTTATACATTTAGGGGATTGCATTAGAAAGACTTTTAGCCTGATTTTGCTTTTATAAATGCAAATGTATGCAGAGCAGACAGATTGGGATCTGTACAATTTAGCAATGATCGAAACTTGTAATTTTTGAAAATGGGACAGATGTCCAGACCAGTTACATTAAAATGATTCTTATTGAAGAAGAAACCAAACCAAACAAACAATCCAGTTTCACTTCCTCCTTTAAATGGAAACAAATAAACAAAGCCACCACAAATTAGAATAAGTTAAAAAAAAAAAAAGTAGAGTGAGGGAAGGGGTACCTAAGTTGGCCTCTATAGAATTTCATGATCTTCAGTTATCCCATGGCTTAGCTCTTCCACTAAGTCCACCCGTCAGGGTGCTTTGCCATCCTTTCAATAAACTTTGTGCTTACTTTACTCTTAACTCCTGGTCCAGCACCTTCAATCACTGACTGTGCCAGGGCACGAACCTGGGGAACAATAATTCAGTATCGTAACACTCCTGCCTCAGGCTACTTCTATTTGAAAAACATATGAGCTGGGTGTGGTGGCACCAACCTGTAATACTAGTACTCCACAGGCTGACACAAGAGGATTCAGAGTTTCAGGCCAGACTGGGTTACATAGCGAAACCCTGTCTCAAAAATCAGGTGACATTTTTCAATTTGTTTCAATTAACAACAATGCCATTACCAGTTATTGAGACCCTGATATATTTTAGGCACTGTAACAGAAGCTTTGCAAACATTTAATCCTTACAGCAAGTTTTTTTTTTTTTTTTTGCAAGTTAGGTATTATCTTCATTTTACAAATGAAGGCTCAGAGTGGTTACTTGACACCACAAGCTTCAGCCTTGCAACAGCAAACTCACAACTTAATTATCAAACACTATGGAACTATTAGTTGTCTATGGTTAAAAAAAAACTATAAAAACTTGCCCTAAGAAAACTGAGCACTGGTGACCCACACCTATAATTCTAGGAGGCAAAAACCAGGAGGATCATGGTTCAAGGCCAGCCCAAGCAAATAGTTCATTAGACCCCATCTTGAAAATACTCAACACAAAATAGGGATGGCAGAGTGGCTCAAGTGATAGAGTGCCTGCCTAGCAAACATGAGGCCCTGAGTTCAAACCCCAGTACTGCCAAAAAAAAAAAAAAAAAAAAAACCTGTCCTAGATATTACAGTTTAAGATAATTTGGGCAACATAAGGTAAGTTACAAAGGTGGAAAGACATAGAGGTATGGGTCACATAAAAGTCATTGATGACCAACAATGATTTTTCCTTCTTAAAAGCAGAAAATCACCCCAAACATTTCTTAAAAACCTTTTCTTGTAAGTTTCTACTTTTTAAAAAATCCTATGAAAAGCTTTTTTTCCCTCCCCGAACGCCACCAGGGCCTGGCCTGCCAGCTCAGCGATGAGGAAACTGAACTTGCCCCAAGTCACATGGCTGCTGCCACAGGTGACATGCCAACTTACCAGATCCGAGCTCCAACTACCGCTTTGCCACAGGGGGTAGTGATGGCCACCTCACCAGGAAGTTTGCAGTCCCCAGCAACTAGCTGAAGAAGCAACACGTAAACGGGAGCTGAGGCTAATGAAAAACAGCTGCTAAAGAATGTCGACATCGAAAGAAAGAATATGTGAAGTGTCTGGAGAGTCGAGTTGCAGTGCTGGAAGTTCAGAACAAGAAGCTTATAGAGGAACTTGAAACCTTGAAAGACATTTGCTCTCCCAAAACAGATTAGTAGAAATATTTAACTATGAACTGATTACAATATGTACAGTTGCTTTTCAAAGCAATACAATATATAGCTGGCAAGAATAATGGCTTTTTTTCCTTTGTATCATTCATCTTACTTCCTAATCTCCAACATTCCTAAAATGCTTCACTGTATGTAGTTAATACTTAGCTATAACTTTCAATTTTTAAAAGAGACAAAAGTGTAAAAATGTATGTAACAAATTCTTAAAATGAACTATTTGTAAGACTTATTCAAATGCTACATATTTGTAGTTCCCAAACCCTGTGTCATGAAGAGTGTCCTATGCAATAGAAAGTTTTGTAGGTCTTTAAATGGTCACCTTAGGAAATGATGATCAAAGATAATGCATCCAGCAGTACAATAAAATTAAACCACAAAAAATACCTCAGGAAAGAATTGCAAGAAAATATATCTAATACTTATATGAGAATAGTCTAGAAATGAATTGATGGCATTTTCAGATTTTTATATTAGTGGCTTTGTAAAGAAAATATTGTATTGCTGTCCTTGAATGCCATAGTTGAAGACAGTTTTTAATAGAACCATGTTGGTTGCAATTTGTAGTGTTTGGTGCTTATTTAACTAGCTGAACATTTTAAAAAATCCTATGAAAAGACACAATTGCTTCATCAACCACAAGCATGAGAGATGAAATAATCCTCAGGCAACTTAATTACCTGCCTGCCACATCCTTCACAGCAGCCAGTCAGTCCTAACTGCCCCACATTCCTAACAGGCATCTCTATGCCCAAGGAGATTAAATCCTGGGCAACTCAGAGGAGTCTTGACCTTCTTCTACATCTACTTTTGCACTAGTAGGAACAAATGATGTATTAGGATATATGTAATACTTTCCAAAGCAACATTCCCAGTTACCAAATCCATAGACCAACTAGATCAGCAGGTTACCAATCCTGGAGCTAAGAAATCTCTATGTCCAAAGGCAAACTGTTCTTGGGCACTGCCTCAGGATTAGTGGGTTATTAGAAAAAGAACCTAATTCCTGATTAGACCAGGAATTGCATAATGAGAAAGTTTAGGGAAAAGGCTCTGCCAAAATTTAAAAACAGAATTCCAGGTCCTACCTCTTATTCTGGTTTTGGCCAATGACATCATCGTTGGTTAACCCAGGTGGCTGAACATAAACTAGAACATCCAATCTGCTGACTCAGTGCCTTTATATCCTACTATACTTCTGTTTTATTGCAATTCCTTTTGTACAGAAAAAAAAACAAAAAAACCCAGGGCACATTCCTAAAGTTTTAAAGGAAGGACTTGTGAGTTTGTCAAAGAATGATGCTCTTGAAAGAACTATCCATGATAATACTTAATATAGCAGTCATTAGTCACATGTGGCTAAGCAGCACTCAGAAAGTGGCTAATGCAACTAAAGAACTGGATTTTAAATGTCATTTATGCTGAATATTTCAGTAGCCACATATGGCTAGAGGGTATGATTATGTGCAGATCTAGATGATACAAAAGTTGATTTTTTTGGAAAATAAATCTGCATTTGGGCTGGTCATGGTGAGGCAGGAGGATTGCAAGTTTGAGGCCAGTCTAGACTATACAGTGAGCCCATCAAAAAATCAATCCCCCAAAATATACATTTGAAGAAAAACTAAACCTTTTCTTTCTTAAGTCCCAGTGAAATACATTATATCCTTCAGGCCAGTAATGATCTATTTCTACTCAGTAAGCCAAGAGAAAAATAAAGCAATCCCATGGCAACCCTAGCTTCAAGTTTTCATGTGTCCTTTTGCTTATTCCTGGAATTATTCTCATTTTCCTTTAAAGCTATTCCTATCTTACCTTAAATGAAAACAACAAAAACCTCCTCTTTCTTCATTCGTGGTGGTGTCTCTCACTATACCCTCAGGATCTGGGTCTTCCCATTTTCTAAACTGGTAGGTTGAGTTTTTTCCAGATCTTTTGGCACACACACCAAAGAAACTCTAGAGCACAATGATGATAGAGAACTTTAATTATAATGGCTCAGTAAGGAAGAAAGAAAAACCACCAGACTCTGGAACTCAGGAAGATGAATTTGAGATTGACAATGAAGGGATGATGGCCATTTCCCCTGAACAGCTTTTCCAAGCCCATTTATGAGGAAACCTCACCACTTCAGGAACTTCTGAAGACTCTTCTATGTGAGTTTTCTGATGCTGACTGAGGTAGGCATTTCTGCTGAAGCATTTCTCACAGCTGGCACATTTGTAAGGCTTTTCTCCTATGTGGGTCCTCTGGTGCCTGATAAGGTTAAAGCTCTGACTGAAGCACTCACCACACTTGGGGCATTTATAAGGTCTCTCTCCTGTGTGTGTCCTTTGGTGAATTGCCAGGGTGGAGCTCTGACTGAAGGTTTTCCAGCACTTAGAACATCGGTAAGGCTTTTCACCTGTATGTGTTCTCTGATGTCTAATGAGGTGGGAGCTAAGACCAAAGCTCTTCCCACATACATAGCATTTATATGGTTTCTCTCCTGCTTGAACTCTATATTTTTCTATCACATTGCAGCTTTGATGCAAACTTTCTTCATATTTAGAATTTCTTTCAGATTTCTCTCCTGTGTGTGTTTTTTGGTGTGTTACAAGGTTTGAACTTCGACTAAAATTCTTCCCACATTCTGGACAGTGATAGGGTTTTTCTCCTGTATGTATTCTCTGATGCTTTATTAGAGTAGAATTACAACCAAAGCTTTTTCCACACTCATGACATTTGTATGGCTTCTCACCTGTGTGTGTCCGCTGGTGACGAATCAGGCTGGAACTCTGAGTAAAACTCTTTCCACAATCTGGACATCTATAGGGTTTTTCTCCAGTGTGGGTTCTCTGATGTTCTACTAGAACATAGCTGTGACTGAAGCCTTTTCCACAAACAGAACACTCATACGGTTTTTCACCTGTATGTGAACGGTGATGCTGAATAAGGTGAGAGCTGCTACTGAAACTCCTTCCACACTCAGGACACTTATAGGGTTTCTCTCCTGTGTGAGTCCTCTCATGGATAATAAGATGGGAAGTATTGCTGAAGCTTTTCCCACAGTCAGCACACTGGTAGGGCTTCTCTCCTGTGTGTGTTCTTAGATGCTGAATCAGGTGAGAACTGTTACAAAAGCATTTCTCACACTCAGAGCATTTATAAGGCTTTTCTCCTGAGTGACTTCTCTGGTGAGTACGCAAATGAGAACTATTACCGAAACTTTTCCAACATTTAGGACATTTGTAGGGTTTATCTCCAAAGGATGAATTCAACTGGACAGAATCACTGTCATGTTCTCCTGGATCCCATTCCCTGTGGTGGGGTTTTTCCTCTTCTTTCCCTGTAGAATTTCTCCAAATCTCTGACTCGCCCTCATTCTCACAGGAATTGTGACACCAAATTTCATCTTCTACAGACCTTATCATTGGCACTTGTTTGGTGTCCTCATGCTTAGAATGCTGTAGACCACGTCCTTTACACCATTTTAGAGCTCTCCCTTTAAGCTCATCTGCCTCAGGATTATTGTGCTGAAGAGCTCCCAAATTATTCTTACTTTCATCTGCAAGAAGAAATAAATATTGTAAATATATTACATAACCTAATCTCTGCTGGACAAGAAAATTTTGAAATGTAGTGGAAGAGAAGTTATAACAATGTCAAACCTTATATTTTATAAAAAATAAAGTTTTTAAAGCTGGTTTAACTTCTTTTACTCTATGTTTTCACCAGTAGCAGGTGAATCTGTGTCATTATTAATAACACACATGAAGTGTTTTATCCATTGTCAGCAATTGCCAAAGGGAACCTTAATCTAAACATAAATGCATAAACTGAATTCTAGAAGACTTAAAAGAGAAATGGGAACTTGATTATGGTGAAACTGAATAGGATCCCATCTGAGGTGAAAACTACATAATAGCTTAGTTAAAATATGAACAAATGCAGAAATAACAACAGATACTATTAATTAAGAACTATGGCTCTTCATGTATTTCATTAATCGTAAAATCCACACAAGACAGTTATCATTCTTTTCTTAAAGATGAGAAAACTGAGGTTTGGGTTAACAACTTGCAAGTGACAGAGCACAGAATCAAATTAAGGTTTGTCTCACTGTAATAACCTGTTCTTTCTACATATTCTCAAGTACATCTTGTAACAAATGCTCCAAGCACTCAGTCATCTTCTTAATCCCTCACATGTAAAGGAGCTTTTAAAATTTTCCTTCTTTGTGAAGCCATCAGAATCTGGGAGCAACTGTTCTTTCCCTTGTTCCATCACAATGATCACAGTCAGGCTGGGGATCAGAAATCCTGTGGAAGGAAACACAAGTTGTGTTTGAAGTATTTATTTCAGTTTCTTCCTCCTTCCCTCCCAAGCACTACTGAAGAGGAAGACTGCCTTCAAACAGGGCTGTAAAACATAGAAAGCTGCCAATTAAAAGCTGTAAAGGGTTTACCACAAACAAGGCCATAAAGCATGAGAAATCAGCAATTAAAGCTAGACAAGAAAGTTCAGGATGGGGATAAAGGGCACCATGCAAACATAATCACCCATTCCCTCCTTCCTTTGTCTTCACCTGTAAATAAATGTTCCAAAGCAGGTCACCCCTGCTGTTCTTATCTAAACAACCTTAGGTCTCTAACTCACTACTAGTCCCCAATTAATCAGAGCACATTCCTTGCAACCTATGCCCTGCACTGCCTTTTAAATATTCTGTGAATCCTTTGTTCAGTGCTCAGACACAGTATGTGAATCCATCTGGGCCCTCTGGCGCAAAATAAAATCTGAGTTCTCCACTCCTCCAAGTGTCGCTTGGTTTTTTGTCTGACGGTATTTCCACAATACCACAACGTAACAGTCCTAAGCACAGAATGTTCTGTGAACCATAATGAAAATAAGAAACACAGCTCTTAGAAGTCTTTTTAGAAAAATCTTGTCCCAGATGCAGATGGTTAGAATTAAGAGTTAACCCAGCCACACGCCATGTCTGTAATCCTAGCTATTTGGGAGGCTCAGATCAGAAGGATCAAAGTTCAAGTCCAGTCCTGTCCTGGTAAAGTTTGTGAGAACCCCATCTCAACCAGTAGCTGGGTGTGGTGGTATGGTACCTGTAATCCTAGCAACAGTAGGAAGCCTAAGATAGGAAGAACGCAGCCCGGGCTAGCCTGGGTAAAACGTGAGACCTCTATCTCCAAAATAACCAGAGCAAAAAAGGGAGCTGGTTGCTGTTGGCTCAAGCCTGTAATCCTAACTACTCAGGAGGCAGAGATCAGGAGGATCACAGTTCGAAGCTAGCCCAGGCAAATAGTTGGAGACCTTGTCTCAAAATCCCTTCCCAAAAATGGAACTGGTGGAGTAGGTCAAGGTGAAAGACCTGAGTTCAAGACCTCATACCTCAAAAGGGGTGGGGCAAGAAGAGTGGTTTAAGCAGTAGAGTGCCTGCTTAGCATGCTCAAAGCCATGAGTTCAAATCACAGTACCTACCAAAAAATAAAAAATGGAATAAACCCAGTTTATCTATTCTAAATTATTTACTATTATCATTTATATTATTTTTATAATTATCATGTTAAACATCTAAGGATCAAGTTTCAAAGATAGTGTGCATACTTACACTGTCTACTCGTAGCTTAGAAACTGTTATTTTAAAAAAATACTTTTTTGGAAAGGGCACCAATAATAAAACTTAAAAAGACTTCAAGGAATCCATATGCAGGTATAAGAAGCACCTAACATCTCGTGTGATCTCAGAAGCTAAGCAGGGTAGGGCCTGGTTAGTACTTGGATGGGAGAAGCACCACACAGAAATGACCTGGTTTGGTTTAGTTTCAGAAGAATCACTTTGCTTATTGCCAGGAGAATGAAATCTTCGAAGTCAATTCCAAAGGAAATGTTTATATGACCAGTAACAAGAAATCAGGAAAAATCAGGACCATAATAATTATAGACAATAACCCCGAAATATAAAAGGGAACAAAAAAGAGGAACTTTCTTCCTTGTTTAAGTGTGTCATAATCACAATATCCATTTCAGGCAAAAGTTTATTTTCTGGAGTCAACAACAATCCCTGACCTTCTTTAGGAACTAGAAAATAGTTCTGTATGAGTATGACATCTATTTCAGAATATAAACAATAACATAATTTGGGAGAAAATAAGAGCCTAAAAGGACAAAGGTACACATATTAAAAAAAAAAAAACCAGAAAACACTATATTTTTCTACTACTGTCAGGCAGCAAACTAATTAACTTGCACATATTTTTCATGTAACTCTCAGAATAGCCTAAGCTCTAGAAACAATTTTATACATTAAAAATGTATTAAGAGGGGCTGGAGGTGTATGTAGCTCAAGTGGTTGCACGCATGTCTTGCGAGCTCAAAACCTTGAGTCAAACCCCAATACTACTAGGGAAAAAAAAAAAGGCATTGAGAAAATGTCCCAAGGTCATACAAGCACAAAGTGGAACAGCAGGCCTAAGCCTCAAGCTGACTGGAAGTTGACTTTCACACCATCTGTTAAACTAGAGAAGGCAGCATGGCGCAAATGACCCTCACGACATCCTTCTTGACTGTTTTTGTTTGGTTACAAAACACATCTGTACTCCCAAACCTAATGCCACAGTGGGCCAGTCTTCGAGCACACCCAACATCTAGGGATCTGGTACAAAGGTGAAAGCAGTTTAATTCACACACATCCCCAGTATTTGAGTGAAAAACAAACAACCTTACACCTGAATGCAAAACAACAAGTTGCTCAAACCGAGTGATGTTTTGCTGAGCTACGCATTTCTATGACAGTATTTACAAAGGGGGAGTCTGGGGAAGGTTCCCGTCCCCCAGCTTTCCCTAAAACACGATTGCGTTCGACAGTAAAAGCGCCCCTAGGAACACTGGCTCGGCAAAACGGCGGCCAACGCCGGCCACAGAGGGCACTGGGGTCTGTCCTTGCGATGTCACTGCAGGTGACTGGGGCGGGGGAACCTGGGTTTGAAATCCTGGAAGAAGGCGCGGCATGCAGCCGGCGCGGGGAACCCGAGTCTCGGCGGCCGCGCTCCCGCGAGGGGCCGCATCCGCGCGGGGGAAGGCGCGGGACCCCCTCCGGGCCGTACGCGCCCGCGGCTGTCCTCCCGCCCCGGGAGGAACTCACTGTTCGGGGGGCATGCACACAAGGCACCCCGCAACCCCAGCAGTCCAGAAGGAAGGAGCCCCCGCCCATTCTGACCCCACCAACCCAGAACCTGAAACCCCCAGACCCGGAAGACAGGAACCGGAAGTTGCCGCACCACCCCAGGCCGGCTTTGCCGGAGCCTCTCTAGGAAACAGTGGTGGTCACGTCTCGTTGGTTGTAACCCTTAGCATCCTCCAGCAGGGGCGTGCAGGTGGGTTTTTCTTTCTTGTGCAGTGATCTGCTAACTGGGCTGCTCCTTCCTCTCACCTGACAGCCCAACCCTCCCCACCGTTGTTTGAACCTCAACCTGGTGCACGGGTAGGGCCTTTAAGTGCACGCTGGGAATCCCAGAGTCCGAAGATGGCCGTGGTAGGGATGGACAGAAGGCTGTTTATATTTGGGGGCTTTTAGGGACCCCCTTCCATCTGTCAGGGGCTGGGGTGGTCCAGGTCCCCACTTTTCCCATCCATCCTGGTTCCACCTGGTACCTATCCCAGATTGACGAAGCCGAATTTGCGTGCCAGGCGCTCAGCCTCGCCGTAACCCTGGGTCACTCGCACGGCCCAGCTGCTCACATAATGGGGGTCCGAGCTGAGGCCCACCCCATTGGCAGGGGACCGACTAGGGCCAGGGCCAGGGCCAAGGTCAGGCTCAGCCAGAGCTCAGTCTGGGCGGGCCGCATGACGGCGGGGCCTCATTGGAATTTATACGTTTCCTTGCCATCAGGGCGTCATCACGTTTATCATGTCATCATCATCAGCATCATTAGACTTCAAACCTCAATCCAGTATTTAAACTCCTATTGTTTCTGTTCCCACTGCCGTTAGCATGGATATTTCCCTGTCTGTGAAACAGTTGGAGAACTAAGCATCAATTTGTTTCCAAGACTTATTAATTGGTTTCCAACCCTTATTAATTAATTAGTTAATTAATTAATGACACATGGAGAAATTTACCCACACTGTTACTTGTTGGAAAGAAGAAATATACCTCATAGACTGGATCATTTGGGCCAGGGGGCCATAAAACTTGCTCTATGGCCCAGATGTCAACTATTGCATTTAATGCTTGTGGGCCTTACAGTTTCTGTTGCACATACTCAACTCTGCCACAGCAGACAGAGGGCAGCCATATGAGGAAATAGGCTCCAAAAAGTTTTTTATGGTGCTAGGGTTTGAAGTCAGAGCCTCTCACCTGCTAGGCAAGCTTTCTGCCACTTGAGCCACACTCCTGGCCCTTTTAGTTTGTTTATTTTTCAGATAGGGTCTTATGCTTTTGCCTGGGTTGAACTTGGACCTTGGTCATCCTACCTGAGCCTCCTGAGTAGCTAGGATTACAGGTATGTGACACCACACTTGGCCCCAATAAAATTTTATTTACCAAAACATACAGCCTGCCCTCTAGCTGACCTCTGCCCTAGCTAAGGGGATTTCAGGTATCATATTAAAAGTACTCCCTGACTTCTCACTGCCTACCATACAATGAAAGAGAAGATAGAGAAGGTTAAAGAACCAACTCTTGAATAATATATTCAATCTATGACCTGCTGCATTGGAAAATAATTTTTCCTACATCCCCTCCTTTCCAGATGGCAAATGATGTTAAAAATGCAGACATGGCTTCTGAGAAAAGATCAAATATCAGGTACTGCCAGAAAAATACAGCCCTGAAGCACTACAGGTCTTCAGGGTATGTCTTGGAGAACTTCTCTGCTAAAGGATGGAATGCCAAAAAGTCTTAAGAACCTTGACCCAGCAGCAATACAAGGAAGCTAAGGTAGGAAAGTGTTAATATCATGAAGATTTGTGAAGATAGCTTTTGTCTGGCAGAGCGGAATATATATTGACACACCAAAAACATCAAGATTTCTGAAAGCATTATGTTACCTGAGACTGATAGGCACAGAGACAGTAAAAATAAAGTCTTAAAAACTTTTTTGAAGTCTCCAAAATGAGAAGTCTCAAAAAGTTTCCTGGCAGGAAGCAAGTTAAGAAAACTACTCAGCCACAAATGTGGGATACTAATTAATAAGTTAATATCCAAATTTCAGGATCTTTCTGTTCTTTTCTTGCTTTCTTTTATTTCTTTTGGTCTTTTGAGACAGGGTCTCACTATGTAGTTCAGGCTGGTCTTGAACTCAGTCTTCTGCCTCAGCCTTCTGAGTGCTGGGCAGTCAGTATGTACTACCACACCCAGATCAATTCTACCTCATTCTGACCTCTGTGTTCCTACCACTAGATGCTAAACAGCTTGTGGTTCTCAGCACACAACTTGCTTTTTCATTCCTCTGTGCTTGACTCTCTGCCACAGTGTCACTGTCTCTGTCACCTCACTTTTGCTCCTTTCCCCTATGTCTCATCTGTCCATATAGAAAACATCAACTTCTCTTCATCTCAGCCCAAGTGTCATCTTGCGGAAAGATGAGTATGTGTAAAGGTAGTGCTTGAGCTTGAACTTAGGGCTTCGAGCTTGCTAGGGAGGTTCTCTAACACTTGAGCTACACATCCAGCCCTTTTGGAGATAGGATCTCACATTTTGCTCAGGCCAGTCTGGACCTCCTATATTTAGCTTCCTACCATAGCCAGGTTGACAGGTACACACCACCACACCCAGATCTTTTCCATTGAGATGGGATCTAACAAACCTTTTTGCCCAAGCTGGCCTGGAACTATGGTTCTCACAATCTCAGCCTCTGAAGTAGCTAGGATTGCAGGCATGAGACATTGGCACCCAGCTTCTTGCAGGAAGATTTTAACCCTTTTCCCTACCCAATCTGTATCCTGTTTATTATTTTGTGTTCTACGTGTCTTAGGTGTGGAACCAATTAATAAACTTGTGAAACCAACTAGAATATCTGACCCAGGTATGAGATTGGAATCAAAATCACCAGCTGTCACTAGTTAAGTTCAATTACAGAGTTGGCCTCAGGTCAAAGGCTTCCTGCTCCACCCCGTGCATTAGACTGGCTTGACTTCTTATTTGCATGGAAGAAATTTTTGCCCAGGCAATCTTGCTGAGCTTATGCACAAGAATCAGAGAGCAGGTGGTAAGTGCTCTGTGGGCAGGAAAATTATCCAGGGAGGGCTGAATAACCCAAATGTTCAGTCTTTCCTGCTCCATTGCACTCATCAAAGGGATAAGGATATTGGCGATAGAATGAAAGACAAAACATACCTTCTACTTTTTTTTTTTTTCAGTAGCACCCAGGTTTGAACTCAGGGACTTGTGCTTTGTAGGCAGGCACTTACCACTTGAGCCACACCTGCAGGCCTTTTTGCTTTAGTTATATTTCTAATAATAGAGTCTAATGTTTTTTGCCCTGGCCAGCCTAGACTACAATCCTCCTATTTATGCCTCACACATAGCTGGGATGACATGTATGCACCACCTTGCCCAGCTTATGGGCTGAGATGGGGTCTTACTAACTTTTTGCCCAGGCTGGCCTTGAACTGCAAATCTCCTGAACTTTGCCTCCCAAATAGCTGGGATTACAGATGTGAGCCATTGTGCCTCCTACCTTTTACTAGTGATACAGTAAGGTTAGGCAGGAAGTTGGGAAACCTGATAGCTGAAACAGTATCTTGGATGTTGGTTTAAAAAATTATATCTTGGCCTGCTGATATTAATATAATGACTTATGACATATGCAGGGTCTTGCTGACCTCCACCCCTACCCCAGCCCTCAGAAAAATAACAGCCCTGATATGACCATCCAAGGCCAAAAACTCAGCCGTCTGATGTGTGGGAGGAGTTAATGATACATAACCCAGTTTCCCAAGAATGACCACCCCTATGCCTACAGTCCCCAATAAAATTTAAGGCCTTGGGATCTTCAGCATCACTGCTCCTTCTTGAACCTGCCCACCCTTCCATCTGGGGGTGCTTTGCTTTCACTTTGCCCTGTATCAATAGACCTTTCTCCTGCTAAGTCTCCCCTGTGTCCATCCTTCAGTTCTTTCTCTGATGAGACCAAGAACCTTCTGACTCTCTGAATCTGGTGATACCATTTGTAGGAAAACAGCTCCTCTTTTATGGGGCTGGAGGAAGGTGGGGAACAGGAAAGAATGGCTTTCTTTTACATCCGTAGTCTTCTTGAGATGACATTCCATAAATATCTTTGAGTGAATTCAAAAAGGAATAAATGAATAAAGTTGTTCACCACCTAGTCCTACACTGTGGTAGGTGGCAGGGCTGTGTCACCCAGGTTAGCTGGTAAGCAAGCTGAGCACAGGAATCAGGGTGTTGTTCGTGCGCTTCAAGCACATAGCCTGTAGTAAGATGTAATAAATAAACTCGTTGAGTACCGTGTCTGAAAGGCATTGAGCACATATCCTATTGTGAAGCATGGAGAATTTGTCAAGTCCCTTTATTTCTCCTGCCATTTTCTGTTTTCTTGGTTCTTTAATTCATTTATTTAGCAAATAATTACTGTTTCCTGAGAGTCAAGCTACACAGACATTTGTGTAGACAACCCTGAGTCCTGGGTGGCTAACACAGGGCACTAGAAAGTAAATTTCTGCCTTTCCTAGTCTCTGTTTTTAGGCATTAGCGTCAATGAGAATGATAGCTGAAACTTTGCTAATACAGGTCCTATAAGAGTATTTTTAGCTTAAAGTTTACAGACTACTTGACTTAGAATATTTAAAACTGTAAGGACTTCACCATTTGCTTAAAATATGTCTACGGCAGGCGGGCCCACGATGGATGGAACTGCTTAGTGATGTCTTCAAGGGATCAGGACATTTCCTTTCTTCCCCTTCACCATCCTCAACATGCTGGTGACATCTCCCCTTAGGTTTCTCATCATGTGACTGCAACAAATCCTCCCATCACATCTTAACACCATAGAATCCAAGGCAAAGAAAGAGGGCAAAGGGGGCATCATTTTCACCTCATAGGAGTCTCATTTAGGAGAAATATATATAAAAAAGGGAAAAGTAAACTTCTCCTTCTATCTCATTGGCCGGAACTTACTAAACCAATCACTGCCCCAGGGGTATGGGACTGCCATGGTCGGCTGAGGTCGATCATGTTTCATCCTCTGGATCTGATCACAAAGCTGCATAAATCAGTCA